CTTTTTGCTTGATGGACATCGAGACATGCTTTCGCTTTGTAGATCCTTCGGCAGCTCCAGAATCAGAACTTCTTTTTGACAAAATCGAAAGTTCAAGCTTACTTTCATAAAATTGCCCTAACAGTCTTCAAAAAATAATAAGCCAGATCCAATTAGAAAAACAATGCAATCTGCAACATTAACTGAAATAGATAATTAGACAATTTTAGCTTAGCTTATACCGTCCGTTATACATTAAACGCGCATGCGTAAAGGTATTATGCGCATATGTGGACGCATTTTGCGTTTACGCATGCGCAGAAAGTTTATAGCTTTGAGGTCTTGATTATGTACGTCCGGATTAACCTAATGAAGACTTTTGACTGTATTATTATTTTCTGATTGTTTCAATTCATGGAATTCAATGTATTTTTAAATTTTATCTAGTAATCTGAGATTGAAATACGTCACTGATTATTATTCAGAGAATTTCAAGGCAGAAAGCAATACACCAACATGATTTTTAGCACTAATACATCTGACTTTGTCACATGCACTGTAACTTCATAAAATATTATTAAATCTACAAATAGGTTACTTTACTTGCAAAGCACTCAAAAGCTATTCACCAACAAGGATGCCTTCATGAGAAACTTTTTGTGAAAAAAGCTCATGTACAGTCAAAAGTCGTTAATCCGGACTCATCGGGACTTCGGCGATTCCGGATTACAGATCATCAGTTTAAATCTGGTAAGATGGCATGCAGAAGTTATAAAATTAAAAATATGAAACCATAATTTATGAAATAAAGAACAATTATGATCTAAAGAGTATCAAAATTCACAAAAAAAAAGCTTAAAATTTATTTGTTTACTTTATTAAACATTTCTTTCAACATGCGCATGCGTAAAGCATACATTACGCATAGTTGAAATTAGAAAATTGCAACCAGAAAATATTTGATGTGTATTCGTGATATTTATAATGACGAGGAATTTGATTTAAATCATATCAAAGATGGAGTACATCGAGATGAAATACTACATTTAGTAAGGAATTATAAGCCGAATAAAATAAAATCATCTGCCCTGACGATAAGAATAGTGCTGACAGATCAACTTCTAGTTCATTGCATGCCAAGACGTCCTCCCCCCTCCCCCGCAGAGCATCGTGAAATTGATAAACAGATTTCGGAATGGTTAGAAAAACAAAGGATATGCCTTTATCCATTTTTTTTTTTTTTTTTTTTTTTGCAGCTATTCTACTTTTTGCTTGATGGACATCGAGACATGCTTTCGCTTTGTAGATCCTTCGGCAGCTCCAGAATCAGAACTTCTTTTTGACAAAATCGAAAGTTCAAGCTTACTTTCATAAAATTGCCCTAACAGTCTTCAAAAATAATAAGCCAGATCCAATTAGAAAAAACAATGCAATCTGCAACATTAACTGAAATAGATAATTAGACAATTTTAGCTTAGCTTATACCGTCCGTTATACATTAAACGCGCATGCGTAAAGGTATTATGCGCATATGTGGACGCATTTTGCGTTTACGCATGCGCAGAAAGTTTATAGCTTTGAGGTCTTGATTATGTACGTCCGGATTAACCTAATGAAGACTTTTGACTGTATTATTATTTTCTGATTGTTTCAATTCATGGAATTCAATGTATTTTTAAATTTTATCTAGTAATCTGAGATTGAAATACGTCACTGATTATTCAGAGAATTTCAAGGCAGAAAGCAATACACCAACATGATTTTTAGCACTAATACATCTGACTTTGTCACATGCACTGTAACTTCATAAAATATTATTAAATCTACAAATAGGTTACTTTACTTGCAAAGCACTCAAAAGCTATTCACCAACAAGGATGCCTTCATGAGAAACTTTTTGTGAAAAAAAGCTCATGTACAGTCAAAAGTCGTTAATCCGGACTCATCGGGACTTCGGCGATTCCGGATTACAGATCATCAGTTTAAATCTGGTAAGATGGCATGCAGAAGTTATAAAATTAAAAATATGAAACCATAATTTATGAAATAAAGAACAATTATGATCTAAAGAGTATCAAAATTCACAAAAAAAAAGCTTAAAATTTATTTGTTTACTTTATTAAACATTTCTTTCAACATGCGCATGCGTAAAGCATACATTACGCATAGTTGAAATTAGAAAATTGCAACCAGAAAACTATTTGATGTGTATTCGTGATATTTATAATGACGAGGAATTTGATTTAAATCATATCAAAGATGGAGTACATCGAGATGAAATACTACATTTAGTAAGGAATTATAAGCCGAATAAAATAAAATCATCTGCCCTGACGATAAGAATAGTGCTGACAGATCAACTTCTAGTTCATTGCATGCCAAGACGTCCTCCCCCCTCCCCCGCAGAGCATCGTGAAATTGATAAACAGATTTCGGAATGGTTAGAAAAACAAAGGATATGCCTTTATCCATTTTTTTTTTTTTTTTTGCAGCTATTCTACTTTTTGCTTGATGGACATCGAGACATGCTTTCGCTTTGTAGATCCTTCGGCAGCTCCAGAATCAGAACTTCTTTTTGACAAAATCGAAAGTTCAAGCTTACTTTCATAAAATTGCCCTAACAGTCTTCAAAAAATAATAAGCCAGATCCAATTAGAAAAAACAATGCAATCTGCAACATTAACTGAAATAGATAATTAGACAATTTTAGCTTAGCTTATACCGTCCGTTATACATTAAACGCGCATGCGTAAAGGTATTATGCGCATATGTGGACGCATTTTGCGTTTACGCATGCGCAGAAAGTTTATAGCTTTGAGGTCTTGATTATGTACGTCCGGATTAACCTAATGAAGACTTTTGACTGTATTATTATTTTCTGATTGTTTCAATTCATGGAATTCAATGTATTTTTAAATTTTATCTAGTAATCTGAGATTGAAATACGTCACTGATTATTCAGAGAATTTCAAGGCAGAAAGCAATACACCAACATGATTTTTAGCACTAATACATCTGACTTTGTCACATGCACTGTAACTTCATAAAATATTATTAAATCTACAAATAGGTTACTTTACTTGCAAAGCACTCAAAAGCTATTCACCAACAAGGATGCCTTCATGAGAAACTTTTTGTGAAAAAAAGCTCATGTACAGTCAAAAGTCGTTAATCCGGACTCATCGGGACTTCGGCGATTCCGGATTACAGATCATCAGTTTAAATCTGGTAAGATGGCATGCAGAAGTTATAAAATTAAAAATATGAAACCATAATTTATGAAATAAAGAACAATTATGATCTAAAGGGTATCAAAATTTACAAAAAAAAAAAAGCTTAATATTTATTTGTTTACTTTATTAAACATTTCTTTCAATGTAAGTTGTTTCGTTTTTTATGTGATAATACATTATCTTTAATTCTTTAAACAGACATAATTTCTTGTTCAGTTACAAAGTTCCGCTGTTCAAGTTGTCGAGAATACCGACTAATTTGTCAATTGAAATTTTTTCATTTTCAATAACCTCTGTCACTTTCTTCGTTATCGGAAACGAATTATAATGACGAGGAATTTGATTTAAATCATATCAAAGACGGAGTACATCGAGATGAAATACTACATTTAGTAAGGAATTATAAGCCAAATAAAATAAAAACATCTGCCCTGAAGATAAGGATAGTGCTGACAGATCAACTTCCAATTCATTATGCGCCGCAGCATTAAAGGTAAACAAAGTTTAGATAAACAAAGGATATGCCTTTATCCCTTTTTTGCAGCAATTCCACTTTTTGTTTAATGGACTTCGAAACGTACTTTCACTTTGTAGATCCTTTACATATTAGTAAATATATAACAGAAATTCTATTTGACATAATCGAAAGTTCAAGCTTACTTTTATAAAATTGCTCTAACAGTCTGCAAAAAATAATAAGCCGAATCCAATTCGAAGATTAAGGAAAACCACAATCTGCAACATTAACTAAATTAGATAGTTTTAGCTTAGCTTATACCGTCCGTTATACATTAAACGTGCATTCGTAAACGTATTTTGCGCACGCACACACGCATATTCGCAGCCGTCAACGCATGCGCAGAAAGTTTGTAGCTTTGAGGTCCGGATTATGGGTGTCCGAATTAACGACTTTTGACTGTATTATGTTGAAAAACCCCACAGGAGCTTTACATAGCCACCATACTCCACAATCAGAACAAATTACTATTTGTCTGTAGCTTCCGCCACTTGATCAGTAATAAAATACAAGTTCTGAATGCAACTTTTAGAAAATATCCCACTATTTAAAGCAGAAATTAAGTTTTAAGCAAATAAATCATTCTTAATAATGGCCTGAAAATTTCATGTAGATAAGTCAATAAGAACACTGTCAATCTTGCAACAATTTTCATTCTTAATTGGGTTCTTTTCTACTAATGAGATGCCAGTCATAATTGTGGACTATGAAATAGCCTATTAATAAAAGCATCATGTGTACCCATGTAATTATGTTCTTAAAAGCAGGAAGACTAAGCACTGATAGAGTTTCTCACTTGGATTTTCAGTTGCTTTCTGGTTAAGAGCTGGTCTTTTTTGGAAGAAAAAAATTAAGCGTTTGTTAAGTTACGGGGGGCTAGGCAAAGTGGCAACATTAACATAGCACTGTCCCCTACTATCTAGATTCCTATCTAAACAAATTCATGCAGCATTGATTACATGAAAAAAAAAAAAAAAACATTTTTTTTTTTTTTTTTTTTTTTTTTTTTTTTTAATGTTAAAGAAATTTGCAGATTTACACAGCCTGTTATAATCTGAAATTAATCTAGTAAATTCTATTTTGCATTTTTGTATTTGTCTTTTGTATTTATTCTGGTTTTAATAAATAGTCATTTTTTTCCCTATGAAACTGTATGTATCATCAGTTAGCCGTAAGTTAGATTTTGGACAAACATTAATGTGGATCCCTGTAACATAAAAGAACCATTAACTGTAATTTCATTATTAAGCTTTCCTTAAATTTTCTCTTACTTCAAGTTTAGCATCCAACTCTGCATCACTAGCAATTATGCAATCATCATCTTTCTTTCCAAGTTTTTTGAAAACAGCTTGCTTTGTTGCCCAATAACGTTCTTGCATCCGATTAAGAGTACAAGATTCTCTGAAGTCATTCATTTCACTTTAGGTAGAAAAATATTTTCTGGAGAAGAAAAAGAGACATTAACTAATATTGAAAAAAGTCAACATTTTTCAACAACCTCAAAATCATTCACAGTATTTCAATGTGATACATGAATTACAAACTTTAATAGTGCCAATGTGTGTTGAAAACTATTGTCCAGTAGTCCTAACCATTATCACTTATAGTTTGCCTTTCATGAGGTTTTTAACTTCTGTTAATCAAAGCTAGTTGATAATCTTAACAAGCACCATAATAATTGAGAAGTAAGTCCAAATTCAGTATTAAATGCAGATTGCAAACTAATCCCAAGTATTATCCATATTTTTATATTCTTTAACCTAACAACGGACGTCTTTTAATTCACACTTTTTAGCTGACCTATACATGATCTTCCTCTTTAAAGGAATGAGATGTTTTTAGTTAAATGCAAATTCACAACATGCATTTTCAATCTTTTTTAGTTCCAAATTTCTACATCCTGGACACTAGTCACATTTCCACTAGTTCACTGCATAAAGTTGCGGACATTTTTTTTAAATTTCAGAAAAGCATTCAAGAGTTAGCTTTTTATAGAAAAGATGGCTTCATGGAAAACTTTTTAATGGAAATTACCTCGAGTTCATATCATACATAGTATGAGTAAAAAAATTTAACATCTTAGTACATTGAGTATACGGACTGCCTTATTCCTAATTGACTCAGAATGACATGGAAGAGGTATATCAAAGCCCTAGCCAATTTAGAAAACATTGCAATCAATACGTCTATTTTTTTTAATGATAAAATTTTCAGTACATTATTACAAGACCACATTCGTTTCGATTACTTACAGGTTGTTTCCATAATAAAAAATACATGTGCTATATATGTTTACAAATAAATGTGTAATCAATGGACATACAATTGCAAATGCTGTGTTATGTTTCCTGATTTAACAAATAATTTTATAATTTTTACCACACACACACACACACACACACATATATATATGTAGTAAAAATTATAATATATATATCATGTTTTAATGCATAGAAGGAATCTGATACTTTTATCAGACAGTGGCTGTAGATAGGCTGAGTGGAAAAACGTGATGGCGCATTTAACACAACTGCACTTGAAGTATCACAATCTTTATTTTTACGCACATCAAATCAACCTTTTTGCAGACAAGATATTTCTAAGGACATTTTTAAAGACGAGATTTTTTTAAATCATATTTGAATACAATAATTTCCATGTATGCAGGTTTTAAAGTATGACGTCATGTTAGATAAGTAAGCATAGCAGCGTCCTGCCAGGAGGAAAGCGTAAGCGAAAGTGGAAAAAGGACGCTGCAACTCAAAGCGAGGGAGTCAAAAAGCTTCAGTTCCAAGTTAAAGTTTTGGTTTACAATTTGGTGATTGGTAAAGAGGTATCTACATTAAGCGTTACGTAACATGAAAAGATCTCGAATTTGGGACAACAGATGAATTTAGGGGGAGAGCATAAAATCTAGAATCGTTAATTTTGAGAGGGCCAATTATTTTTAAAACAGGCAGTGTTATCCCCAAATTTTGATGAACATCTTAAACAGCTTATGATAATATTTGATATATGTGAAAAAGAGAATATAAAATTAAAACAATCTAAGTGTAATTTCGCTAAAGAAAAAATTAATTTTCTAGGATATGAGGTTCAAGCAGGAAAATATCAACCCAGTAATGCAAATATTGATGTTACTAAGAAATTACAACCCCCTAAAAATGTTAAAGAATTGCAAAGATTTTTAGAAAGTATAAATACTATATACCATAAATTTATTCAAAATTGTGCAAAAATTAGAGTTCCTTTAAAAAATTTACTTAAAAAAGAAACTCCTTATAAGTGGACTAATGAATGTCAAATAGCTTTTCAAAATTTAAAAGATGCATTAATTTCAAGACCCTTTCTAACTTTGTTTGATCCAAAATACCCCTATCATGTATTCGTAGATGCATCTAAAGTTGTTGGTGCAGTTTTAAAACAAGAACATCCAGATGACAACCTACATAAAATTGCTTTTCATTCCAGAAAGTTAAGGTCTTATGAGCAAAATTATGCAATAACTGAATTAGAATGTTTAGCAATAACTGATGCTATAGACAAATTTTATTATTATTTACATTATTATTTATAATTTTATTGTACACATTATTATTTACCATTTTATTGTATTATTGTTACTTAATCATTTTATTGTATGTACCAATCATGCTGCTTTAGTCTGGCTTAAAAGGGTGGTGTTGGTGGTGTATTTAATTATGGCAAAGCACACGAGGGCTATCTGCCTAAAGGGAGGGATGCCTTTCGTGGAGGACTTTCTAAGGGAAACTGGCTCGTATACACGTTACACATGGGGAAAACCACGAAAACGCCCATGCAGCCAGCCCGTTCACGGGATTCGAACCTCAGACCGAACTACCAGTGTTCAGCGTCTTTACCGCTCGGCCGCTGGTGGGCCCTGGCTTAAAAGTATCACAGCATAAAGCACGGTCTTTTTTGTATATTATCTAAAGCATAAAATATAACAACTTCAAAAATGCAACATACTTTCTCAGCTGAGTCATAGAGTTTCATTTTTCAATTTTTTATTTTTCGGCTGATTTGCACCTCCTTGTAACATTATACCAGTTCAGTTGCAGCATGATACGGTTTACACATGCAGTGTTACGTTTGCTAAATATTTTCATAAGATAATAATATTGAATTTAAATAAAGTTCAAAAGTTTTTACCCATATTTTACATAAATATGTTCAGCTGGGTTGCAGAATCAACTGCATAAATTCTATTTTTAAAATTTTAAAATTCTAGCAAAATTTTAAAGGTTTTTGTCTTCAGGCTTACATAACTACATTCAAACACCCATCTCTGTAAATCAAAAGTATGCAAAATTAATTTAAAACACAACAATTGGCAGCTACCTGGAAAAAAATGCCTTAGAGGGGCATAAAATATATACTTGCTCTCAAAATTCAAGATTTAACTCTAGACTTTTTTTTTTTTTTTTTTAAGTCTCAATTTTGTGTTCTTAGGGTCCGTAAATTACAATTCATGCAAAATTCTACAACAATTTAAATTATTTTACATAACACCCCTCAAAAGGTTAAGACAAATTTTTCAAATTCAAGTACCAAAGCAAATTTTAAGTGATAGAAATGCTGCTTCTTCAAAATTTAAGCACTTTCTAAGAAATCATAATGAAAAACAATTATTAACTACTGCTAACAGACATCCCCCCAAAAGTAATGATACAATTGAACACATTAATCAAACAATTATAACTAGGCTAAAATGTAACCTAAATTCTTATCAAGGTAATATAGCATAGACAAAATTATTATTCCAGGTTACTGAAAAATATAATAATGCACCTCATTCTGTAACAAAGTTCCCACCATCATATTTAATGCATGGAAAATTACCTTATGATTCCTTACTTCAAAATCAAGAATTATATCCACCAATTGAAGAAGCTAGGAAAATTGCTCAAAAAAGGTCTGATGATTATCATAATGTAAATAAAGAAAGATACAATACCGATTATAAACCTAGTAATTTTCAAATAGGTGATTTAGTAACATATGAAGAATTTCAATATCCTAATACCCGTAAAGTTTCTCCTCCTTTTTCAGGTCCTTACAAAATTTTAAAACAATATTTTGAAGTTACTTTTGAAATAGATAGGCCTAATCCTCTAACTAAAAAGAAATCAGAAATTATTCATTCAACTGGACTCAGACCTTTTAATCCAGCTAGTGAATTTAAATTAACTGTTAGAAATAGTAGAATTAAATGTCTGTCCAAAATTAATGTATTTTTAATTTTCCAAAATTTTGCATTAAAAAATTTTCCTGTTCATGACATTTTAATATCTGATCAAGACCTTTAAAAAAAAAGAAACCTAATTATGGCAACTCTTAAACCTAATTATGACAAATTATTTTTCACAATTTTGGCCTTTCCTTGTCTGGCTCCTTTCCTTCTTCACAGAGTTTTTCCATTCAAAATTTAGTTGTCATGTGTTGATGTGTAGAAGAAGGAATACAGTACTTTTATCAACTAGTGGCTGTAGACAAGCTGAGTGGAAAGACACTATGGTGCATTTAACACAACTGAGATTGAAGTATCACAATCCTTATTTCTATGCATATCAAATCATCCTTTTGCAGACCAAATATTTTTAAATCATATTTGAATACAATAATTTTCATGTACACTAGTTTTAACCTTTTGAGGCCGGAGCTTTGGTAGCAGTAAAAACCTTGAAAGGATGGGGGAATCTTGAGCCGAATGCTTTCCCCCCTTTAAGAAATCACCTCCTATTTGCAACAAAGATTCTTGTGTGTAGTTTAAGATTCTCAGAGGGGTGCATCGATGTCACAAAAGGAAGGGAGTGTAGAGATTAGTACCGACTTCAGATGCTTTTCGTCCCGAGGGAAAAATTTCATATTACAGTTGTTCCGGGATTGAAAATATGGGAAATGTGTAGCCTCGTTAGAATGCTTCTTATTATGGAGTTGTTTCGTTTTTTAAAAGTTTGGTTTGAATTAAATTACACTGAAAACAGTGTCTAAAATTGCTTTACAATAATATTTTATATATCTTATCTTAATGTTATGTCAAAAATATATTTCAATATTGATATTCTTGGACAATTAAATTTAACCGTCTCATCTCATCTTTTTTTTTTTTTTTTTTTCTGTTGATGTCTTATAATTTAATGTTTTGGTATATATTATAAAATAAGCTATATCTTTGAACTTCTTCATACAGGGAATAATTAAAAAATAAATGCTAAGCTATAGAAATGATTAAAAATCAAGTTCAGGGAACTGTACAATTATGCTCTATAGGCGTAATGAAATTTTAATTTAATAAATTGCAAAATCTGGGATAAATACTATTAAGGAGGAACTTTCAGCAAATAGAATATACAGGTTAAGTAAAAATTTTTTATTTTATTGTAGATGTTAGTACTGCACTATCCAACTACATAAGT